AAATAAATACTTGAACATATTTCACATATTAGTCGAAATTCCAGATGTTATTACGTTAAAGTAATATCATAAATGATCCTTAATTCGATCTAAATATCTCAGCAGTTCTCTCGCCGCGTTATATAGAGCAGATACTAATACGATATTCAAAGTGAAAGTCATATAATTTATGAGATTCCTAAATCAGAAATGTACTTTAAACTTATATCATACTAGTTGCAAACACTATGTTTAATTATTACTCAGTTCTTCACCGGTTTATCTGTATATTTTTCTTTTTTATTTTCTAACTCTAATCTTAGAGCATATTAAAGTTGGTAGACTTAGACCACTTGTGTGTGGCAATTTCATGGATTCAAATGTGCTAGCTCGCCCTCGATTCTTTACGATTTGCGGTATTTTGCGCCTCTCACTGCCACGATTGCATTAGGAACCAAAGGTATTGACTATTATAGGATATATTGGCCTAATGAAAAATATTATTAGCCACATAGAGTGTGGGAAATACTGAAATTGAAAAATTTATACGCAATCCACAACAAATAACTCGCATATTTTTGACAGAACTATTCTATACTTTATTTTGAATCATATGTGCTCACTAGCATTAAATTATAAATTCATCTCGATTTATTTTTAAACTGCTAAATAAAATTGGTAAAAAATTAAGTTTGCGGTAAAGAAAAGGATAATTTAAAAGATGTTATTTTTCATCGATACTACACCACTGGTTTGAAAGCAGCTAAAACGATAAACGATAATGGTTATATTAATTATTCACATAGAGAGAGGAATAGAGAAAGAGAGAGAGAAAGAGAGTGAGAGAGAGAGAGAGATTAGCGGGTACGCGGTTGCCTTGAGCGTCACGATTTTTCAGGCCGTTATTAGTTTATTCGCAAGCTAGTGCGAGAAAATCGATTAGATTTCCGCGGGAGAGCAATATCGTGCTAAAATCTCGCGGCGATATTTCGCGTGGACGTGCGCACGGGTGCAAACGGCCTTGGACGCCTTTTACCAACGCGATATTTCATTACTTTTGAGCTTATTGGACGAAAGCACGATCTCGCGCCCTATGTTATCAATGACATATTGCAATCAGTTCTCGCCACAAATATGATATTTTTTTTCCGAATAAGGTCGCCGATATCATACGAATTTTCGAGGCAAAACATCACGCTAACTTGAAAAAATATATATCCATAAGTGATAAAATTTCAGGTTTATGGCTCTGTTGCATCACGAGGTATATTTAAAAACTCAATTGAGAGAAAATTTCGAGGAACTTGGCCATTTCCATTAACATCATTTTCAAAATCTCATGATCAACTGAGAAACAATATTATACATTTGCATGTATCAAATAAATCATCGAAAATAATCAATCCCTTGGTATATCATTTATAAATCATTCGGATAAGGTTTTTAATTCCTGGTTAAGTCAAGTTTTCTTATCGGCGTTATAAAGAAAATGATAGATAACATATAGCTTGAGTGAGAGAGAGAGAGAGAGAGAGAGATTCGAAAGGTGCAACTAACTTGTTGCATTGTTTATTTTTTGTGCCATTTTCATATGTGAAACTTATATAAAGGGAACTGTCCTTACGGAGTCGATATTTTGACGTCATAAACAAATCCACGCAAACAATAAATATGGATCTTATTGTACAGTGAGCAAATAATTCATTTTGAATAATTTTTTATAAGATTATAAGTTAATACAAGCTTCCTCGTCGCGCAGAAAGCGACAAGATCAGAGAGCGCATTTTCCTGAGCGATAACCATCAGTAAACTCATCATCGGCTGAACAAGCAAAACAATCCGCTCTCATCTTTCTCTCACGACGAGCGGTGTGCTGCTGTGCGGTGCAGCGTGGCGGCACGGCACATCGACTGGCAAGAAAAAGTAAAAGTGCCCCCCCCCCCTCATGAAAAGCGACAGCGGCGCAACGGTACAATTTCCTGAGCGTAGCGGCTCGTCAGGCGTGGTGGTGGTGAGCGCGAGCGCGACGGTTCAAGGAGAGACGTGGGGCCCGAGTTACGACGCTCTGAATCTGAATCTCACGGTTGCCGTGCAACGCCGCTGCTGCCGCCACCGCACGGATTCGGGTCAGCTTAGCGAGAGTGAAAGAGTGCTCGCCGCATATATACATATAGGTTACGCAAGCACATGCGCCACCGCCCCACGCGCGATCTCTGGGTGTTCCCACCGTCCTTTTTTGCCGGAAGTCCAGCACGCGTGTCGTCCACCGTTGTCTTCGTCGTCGAACCTTTCGAAAGCATTTTTTTCCCCTTCTTTTACCTGCCTTCTTATGCTCTTTCGTTACCAATCTGATAGCCGTTGCTAATTGATAGATCGTCGATCACGATTGACGTCGATATAATTGGTGTTTTTATCCGCCAACACCACAGACAATAACTTGCTCGCGTGGGAGCTTTGTGTTTTTCTGCGAGGGCTCACTTTAGTGCGTGCCTGCTCTGCTTTATCAATTCTCTCTCTCTCTCCCTTTCTCTCTACGGCCAACTTGTCAGTTTGAAAAATGCACCCCAAAACAAGCCGGCGCGTTACATTTTCGCGATCGAGATGCGCTTTCAAACGGCACTTTCCTTGCCAAGTTTTCGGAAATTTTATGCTCCGTCAATTGACTTTCAAGAGAAATGTCTGCAGTTGCAAGTTTGTTTCACACTCATTAATTACAATGTGCAGCCTTGGAACCCTATTTTTTGGTTTTATCTTGCCCATTAGCATAATACGTAATCCATGTTTTACTCTTGCTCGTATTTTGCATCAATCTTCGAGTTGCAGAATACGCGAAGTTCTTGCAATTTTATATAGCACTGAGCGTTACGTTATACCGTTAAAAATCTTTTATCACACACCGTATTGCATAGACCGTTGAAATGCTAACAACAGTCCGAAAGCGCAAGCAACGTTGTGAAGCCCGAAATCTTGAGAATCTAAGGATGGGAAAATCGTTTTGTAATTCAAAACAGCAAGGAATATTATAGTTTCGTTTATGCATGTGCAGCCTAGAGAGACAAGCAACAGGCCACGTTAGCGGCTTCGGCCGACAATCTCAGTCTGAAATAACGCAGATTTTTGACAAATTGGTCTATCCCCGGTAGAGAGACGCGATAGCTGATAGCCGTCATTTCAATTCCACTCTGAAATTGTTCATTCAATTTCAACTCGGGCGAACAGCGGTATCCAATTATACAAAATCTTTCCCAATCGCGTGCTGGCACAGCTCGAGCGCGGGATTTTCAAAGCTCCCGCGCGATCGCTGCCCGTCATTACTCCAGTCAGACAAAGTCGATCAATCGATCAACAGATCGATCGATAGTCTATACGGCGGCCGACCTTTCCCATTCCGCAGTAATGTATATATGTGCACGCCGAAACTAATATCGGCGAATGTCACGCGTGCGCATATTAAATCGGTTGCAAGTACGAGCGAGCGAGCGGGCGAAACAGGCTGCGCGATACGATCCGCGAATTGGACTCGATTAGCGGTAGCCGGCCAAGGCTGCAAGGAGCCGGAACTTCCGATTTACGTGGGCGCGGCTAGGCCGTTACCTCTCACGTTTCGACACACGCGTGCATTCGCTGGTGCTGCTACGTGCATTACATATAGGGTCGGCGGTGGGTTCAGCGATCCGCAGCGAAACACTCTCACTCTCTCGGCCGAGCGCGCGCGAAAACTCAGCCTCTCTCGCGAGAAAAGGCTCTTGTCTATTTATGCGAGCGTGTGCTCGGCGCTTTGTTAGCGGCCTCATTGATGAATTTTGACGCGCCGTTGCCGCTAGACGTGCTGCGTTGCGTTCCGTGTAGCCTCTCTTTGTCTCGCGCCAAGCTGATTTGCCGTGGGCAATGCTCGATTGAGATATTTGTAATGGCGCCTAGACCAAGGATTTACCCGTCGCGATAATCCAACTTGATCACGAGCTCGTTCGTTTCGTTGACAAAGTTGCTAGATTACTGTGCAAGCAATTCAGCTCTATTCATTGTCGCCTCAGTAGATAAAACCGGTTCTAGTCAGCCAACGTTGGAGTAGTAGTCGAATCTATATATTTTCGTAGCGCCTATATTTTTCATTTGCCGCTGTAAAGACTGGCGAATAACTCTGCAGTATTGCAATAGCTTGTTGCAGTTACTGTACACGTGTTTAATGAGTTTTTAATACGCGCGTCTTGCGTATTTTTTCAACTGTAAGATTACAAAATCGTTAAACCATGGATGGCGCGCTGTCGGATCTTTTATACCAGAGTGATATATATTTTATGATATAGTTAAAGTTGAGTCATGAAGCTTAGTAAATCAAAAAATCATTTACGACTAAATTCATTTGATTAATATTTTAATTCTCAAATCGTAAATATTGCTTTTATAACTTCCTAGTATCAAGTGGAATTTAATTCATAGACATAATTTAAAAGAGGAAAAACCAACGAAAATGGAAACGTACGACGCGCTGATAGTCTAGAATTAAAATTTATTACTCAATCACGTAGTTGCCGTGCCCAGTAGAACGAACTTCCAGTTATACTCGTTTGTCTCGGCAACGTCTACGCAGAAGCAGAAGTACGTTGGCAAGTACACAATACGCACGCTTTGCCATGTAAGTTGCGCGACCAATATTGCTCGTGCGCACTTTACTTCGTGCTACTAAAATGTTATCAGTGAGCCGTGGCCACTATGTCGAGGGATGAGTGAAGCAGAGACAATTTTATGATTGTTGAGCAATGCTTGGTTGACTCTCGTGGCACGGCCCTCTGACGTTAATTACGCGTGTCCAATAATCTCTTGCGAAAATTGACGTCCGTCTTCCTACTGCACAGGCTACCGAGCTTTGTCTATAGTGTATCCTGCTTGTGCGTAACGCAATAACTGCTACCATATATTTTTCTTCTATAGTTTTTAACCAAAATATTCGCTCTTAAATATTTATACACCAACTGGTGTTTTAAAACGCGATAAGCAACTAATCGACCTACCGTTTGCAGGTGATCCCAGCATGCCTGCTGGTCCTCGCGGAAGCGCGAAGAGTTCAGCTACGGGCTCGCATTGCAGAGCCCCAGGTCTACTACGAGGAGGAGGATGATGCTCAACCAGCCGCTGAGACTGACGACTACAGCTCGCAGATCGCCTACCAGCCACGAACCAGAGCTCTGCCCTCCCCTCGTTCCAAAGACACGATACATGGCTCCAAACCACCTCCAGTGCAGACCATTCGTAACTACAATAAGGTCAACGACGATGGATCGTTCACCTTCGGTTACGAGGCCGCCGACGGCTCCTTCAAAGAGGAGACCCGAGGCACCGACTGCGTTGTACGCGGCAAGTACGGATATGTTGATCCCGACGGCAACAAACGGGAGTTCACCTACGTTTCCGGTAATCCCTGCGACCCGAATGCTCCGAAAGACGAGGATGATGATGAACTGGTCAGGAAACAGGAAGCTGATGACGTCTCCGGTCCAGCAAACTATCCATCGGTGAGACCGGTGCCACGACCCATCAGACCAAATTACCCTGCTACCACACAGCGAGCGCCTACAACCATCTTCCAGACTGAGTATCAGCTTGCCGACGACGACGCCAGCCAAGAGCTCGAGGAAGAGGCCCCAAGGGCTCAACAGATCCGCCCTTCGGCTTTCCGTAATGCTAGACCTCAGTACGTGACGGTCGCTGCGGCCGAACCCTCGTCTCCTCTGTACCAACCCGCACCCACGACTAGTCCTACCCTGTACCGTCTGGCATCGACGGCCGCTACTGCTCGCTACAACGCGGCCACGACCCCGGCACCCGTGCGCCAATCTTCGTATTACCAGCCAATCGAGACCAGCACGCGTGCCGCGGTAACTCGCGCTCGACCCCAGTCTGTTGCCATCACTCCCCGACCTCACGTAGCCCAAGTAGCCGCCCAGTATGTGTCACCCAGCAGCACCGAGCGTCCCGGAGTCGTGTTCGCCCCCCGCACCGTAACTCCGGTCTACTCGACCACCACGTCAACTCCACCCAGCCAGCACCTTGACTTCGCCGCCGAACTCGAGCGCTACGTCAACAGCGTGGGTAGCCCGACCCCCAAACCCCAGGTAGTCGCCACCCCCAAGTACGTAAAGGCCGCGTCGTCGCAGTCAGCCGCAGCAGCGCAGGCTGCCCGAGGCGAGCCGATATACCAGTCCGAACTGGTCTACGACCCGTCCACCGGTCAGTACAACACTCAGCTCTACCAGAGTCTGCCCCAGACGCTCGGCGATTTCAGCCTCAGTCACAAGCTGCAACCGTTCGTAGCTACGCAGCAGCAGCCGCTGGTCGGTCTGTCGCAGAGTCCGATCTACCGTTCAGCAGCCTCGGTGCCCCAGCCGGCCCAGCAGTCGGCCTCAAGAGCCCAGCCACAACCGCAGGAGGCCATCTACAGGAAGCAGCAGCAGCAGCTGCTACAGCAGTCTCAGCAGCTCTACGCCCAGCAGCAGCGCAGGCAACAGCAACCCGCCGCCAGCCCAGCTCACCAGAGGATCCAACTGCTACAGGACCCGCAAAGGGACGCTCAGAACTTTTATTACATCGCGGCGGCACAGGGACCCCAGCAAGCTCAGTCTCTCTCCGTTGGACAGATCGACCAGTTCCTCCGGGGTGGCGGCAGTTTTTGAGAGATGAGCCACGAGAATACGAGCACCAATCGAGTCACCCAACCTCCCTGCCCCCAAAGCTCTGTTTTTCGTAATAGCTAGTGCGACCGATTGCCCCGAGGATTCCTATGATCCGCGCTAGCGCCTCCTACGCGGCCTCGTTTCTCGTTTTCTCTTTTCTCTTCCGTCTTCTACTTTCTTTCTTTTGCTCTTCGCGTACCGCATTTCCCACTGTCACTGCCACTGCCCGGCGTCACATCGTCGGGGAGATAAATGGATGGCGACGTATTTATGACTTCGTGTTGCAGGCTAAGCCAAGCGGTGATGTATGAGTGGCAAATCGATCGGCCTCGCGAACACTTTTATAATGGAGATAATGATATCACTGCTGTCGCGACAATGGCGTTGTTCAGTGGACGCGAGGCGCCTGTTTGCTATGAGTATTTTTTCCACCTTCTTCGGAGAACAGAAGAAATACCTACTACGACTAGACAATTTAATCATTTTTCGGCTGACGCAATCTTGCGAAACGTACCAGGCTTAAATTATTCATTCGCATCCATTTATCAGCAACGACTTGCCGCAGTATTCATTATCTCCAACTGAAAGTACACTCGCAAGCTGAGGATATGTAAGCGTCAAGTCTTCTGCGTTATTTTTTATAATCCCATGTGGTCTGCGGCGGTCAAAAGCAAAACAAACGTTTGCCGATGGGAAAAGTGGTCCGAAATTCTGACGCGTATAGGAGCTTCGAATATATGATGAAAATCGAGAACGATTACACACTCCTAAATACTTTCTATTACGTATGTGTCCGCGCGAAAAGTGAAATCTTAACACGCACGAACATCGTGTTTTGGCGTTTCAATGGCTTTGAGCGGGGAAAGTTGTAAAAATCAACGGATTCCACGAGAGGTATTATGTTCTTCGGTAATATGTGACTTGCCTGCACAAGTAATCGATCGGTCTCGTTGGAAAAAGAGGTGTTTTCAAATGTTTCTTGTTGTTTGCAAGTACCTATGCAGTACACTTCCTTGTTAGATCGGCTTTTATCGTTAACCGCTAATGCACTAAAAGGACTTTTCAATAAGGACTGTCGATTCATTATGTTATTCGATGGACAGTTCTCTAGTGCGATACCTTGCCATCTGACAGCAAATCTGATTTCGCTTGCAATAATCGCGGGGGATCGCAGTAAAATACACGACGATTTGCCTGCTGTTTCGAACGAGACTGCAATTTAAACAATCCAAGATTGGGAGACCTTTGCTTCGTTGGTTGAGAAAAAAGGCCAATTTTGGCCGCGTGCTCGCGAGCGCGTGGGTGAAAGCACCACCGCAGGACAAGCAAGGCAGCGAGAAAGATCGACTGACGCAATGCACACTCACACATGCGAACACGCGAGATCAATTACACGACGATATTCCCCCATCGGTTTCGATCGGGCTCGCGAAAACGTTTCTTCGCAACCAGCTTTTACTCCTTCGTGCACGCTTGTGGCATGCATGGATGCAGCTAATTTGACTGACCGATCGGCTGAAACGATTTCCTCGCGAGGATTGACCGCGAACAACGAAATGTGTAACTCAGGAGAAAGTCGCGACGACGTCGATGCCGCAACCTGCCGTGCATTTAATAATGCGCCGCTGTCGCCGTACCGACGAAGGAGTATTTATGCACCGCGGCAAATCAAATCGACTTGAGCGCGTGTATCGAATTTATCACGCACTGCCGTAGTAAATACGCGGTTAGTTTGCGGGAGTCGAAAAGATGGATCGTCGATCGGCGTCGTAAAGCTCGACGCGCCGGGAACGGCAGACATTCAAATCAGCGTTGGAGTATCGAGTGACTGAAAAACCGCAGGGGATCCATGGCACAAACTCGAAACCGCAATGTTGCAACGCGATCGCGGAGACCGGCAGTGGAGGGAAAAAGCTTCGGCGAGCCCTCCGGACAGTGTTCGAAAATCGTACTCGCCAGGAGAAAACAGCGGGGCCGCCGGTCCGAGCTTGGAGCGAGATAGCGATCGATCTTGCGTATCTGTGTAAAGGTCAGCAGCGCTGCTCCAGATGCAGTTGAAAAAAGTGCCTCCCACCCTTCCCCGCCTCCTTCCTTCTCAGCGCTCGATACGCTGGGAATCGGTCGACCGAGAACGGTAAATGCAGGTTACGCAAGCAGCACTGAATTTGCACGAGACTCATGTGTATACGTGCACGTACTTATACACCTCGGGCGAACCTCTCCGGTTATCCGTATCGGGCTCTCGTCCATGCATGTGTATGTGTGGGTACGTAAAAGAGCACTCACTCGGGTGAGAGACTGGATTTAATACTTTTATATTGGCTCGATATCGTTTTGCAGACTGTTATATAAACAAACCTTCGCTAACGCGTTATTCGTGTATGTGTGTGTGTGTGTATGTGTGTGTGTGCATGCCCGCGCGAACGGAGTTGGCAAAAATTATACGCCTATTTTTCTCGATAAAACATGGGAGAACAATTGCTCGGGAGCGTTGAAGAAAGTCTGCCAAATGAGCTTGCTTGCTTGCTTGCTTGTTTTCCTTGGGACCGCGAGCCGAATAATCCTGGCTACGTATACGACTTTAAAAATTTTCCAATCAGCGCAGTTATTTTCGAACGATCGATTCTTCTATCTCGAGACAATCTATTTCTTGTCAAATTATCACACTTGTCCACGACCAACTCTTCAAAGATTTCCAGGAAAACAATGCTTCGTACTTACAACGCGTACTATTGGCGCGCGCAAGGTACACCGCAAACACCAAGAGACAGCGAGCTCTCTGATATACAGTGCAGTCTTTCTTCCAGTGGTAGCCGCGAGCGAGTGCACTTTACTTTCATTGGGTCGTATTATAGACACGCGAAACCAAACGAAGCAGCATTCTATAACGGTCGCTTACTCACTTACACTCACTTATGTGCACGTGCAGTTTCGCTTTTCACGAGTCACAGACCTCAAGGGATTTTGCTTTCTGTGTAACGAGGAAGACCAAGACACCTTTCCACTTTAGAAGAGATAACACGATCTGCATGACAATTAATGTCTAAGCTGATTCAAAGATTCTCTCAGGATTTATGAGAAAATAACCCAAACAAAACTTTCTCGCATTGTCAATGTACTATTGCAGATCGTGGTCACTTCAGTTGATGATTACTTGACTCACCACTTTTTTACGCACAATAATATCTCGGCGTAATGGCTAATATCCCTCAGCCTATATTAATTGTGAACTTTATTTATGTACTTATCATTATACACCGTACTGGCAATTTTATCATAAATTTTACCATTGTAATCTATCTATTTTGATCTGTAAGCAACATTATGGTCAGATGAATTTATCAAAATTAATTGTTAATGCTTAGCGAATATTTGATACTGCTAAAAGCCGCCAGTACGAATAAGTCAATGCCTTGTATTGCGACACTAATGGATCGTCTAGTTTCATGTAAAGAAAAATGGAAAGAATGGGAATAATTGTGTTTTTATTTTTAATTATTTTTCAATTTATTTCTTTTATATTGCATTCTACGAAACAATCGTTCAATTCTAATTAACTTTCAAGATCCATTTTGTACATATAATTATATTATTATTATAAACATATTATTACGTAAGATTTAATGTGTACTTATTAGACATACTTTTAATTGTAACGACTACGATTTATCAACTTTTATCAATCAATTATTATGAATAATCGAGATTATTTCGTTATAGTTTTTTTACACTGTTTGTAAGTTTATGATCGTGAAATAAAAAGTAAAATAAATACGTTAAAATCAGTGCGTTTTGTAAATACCAGGTATATGTTTGGGACATCTTTTACTCACCTACCTTTATATTTTTAATTTTGTGCATTTGCGCGGATAAATAATTTTTTTTAACCAAAAGTTTTCTATAAATTATTAATGAATGAAGTGAGACATAAATACGATCAAATATTCTTCATTAGTATAAAAATTACTGTTATATACTTTGTTACACTTAAATTAAAAAGATTCTTTTATTTGAGAAATTATGACTCACAACAAGATATTATGACTCGGCACCAATAATGGCACCATAAAGTAAACCGCGAAAATAAAATACTCCACACTACAAAGAACGTTGCTATGTTTCGAATATTTCGAAGCGATATTTCGAAATATCGCTTAAAACTTAACTACAATTTTTCTTGTTAATGCATAATACTCATTAACAGTGGTTAGAATTTGTACCGTAGAGGTTGTACATACGGATTATTTGCCACAAGCAGTGTAATTATTACTTGGTGCGTGCCGGCTTCGTTGGATAAACGAAAAGTTGTCGATAATATACCAAGAATTTGGTGGTAATTCCTTATTGAATAATTAAGCGTTACGCTCAACAACATACTTCATTTCGTAATCTTTCTGTATACATCACCATCGCTAACCGACTGAGCTATGGAAACAATGATTCGTCTCTAAAAATTAAACAGTACACCGTATCTATGTATCACCAGAAAGCTTTAGTATAAACTACTTATCACTTATAATTTCTAATAAGTTACAATAGCTTTATTTTCGTGTCAACTGCGCTCATCGTAATGAAATTCGATGCGCTCTTAAGCTCATGCACATTGGACTTATATGGAAATAGTTTCCGCATTTGGAAAATTAAACGGTATAAGCGAAAGAAGAAAAACCAGTGAATATACGCGAAAGCATTAGATTCCAAAGGAGTAATGGGCAGGTTCGTTACGATACCACATGCACTTACGTGAAAAACCAAGCGTTTGTACGATCTAATTCTATTACGGGAAACTTGTTTTTAAATTTTCAACATTCCTTACAGCTATTACTATTATTATGTTTTAAACAGTTTTTAGTTGAATATGTTAAGCTTTATAACATAATATGTGATATGAGTATTTCGTAATTTTTTTCAATTTATTCAGTTTAACAGAACATAATATTGATGGTGAAATTTAAAATATTGCCATAATAAAAGAAATTAATCAAGCATATTCTTCCGTTTCACAGTAATATTCATTATAGATTTTTAAGCTGGTCACATTATCAAACAAGACGTTTCAAAATTATTATAATGTAATCCAATGTCAAAAAAAACGATACGTTTAATTACTCTGTTTTGGTCTGCACTCTCGTGCAATAAAATCAGGACATGCGTGGGCTTATTATTACTAAAGGACTAAAAAGCTGGAAGATACGAGTTATGAAATCGAACCTTGTCTAGTAGATCTTGTTCTATCCCAGACACTTTGCAGAGATCGAGTTTAGCTAATCATGAGACTTATATCGATCCAGACATTTGCAGAACCAACATATAACATATAGAATAAGTAAATGGATGAGATAGCTGATACCTGTGCAAGCTAAAGAACAGAAAAGAAAAAAGATAAAATATTGATAAAAATTAACTTTTATTATTACAGTTTTTACTGATTCTTTTATAATAAATTTGTACGAATTCTTAGTATATTGAAAGTTGAAGGAGTCCCCTTTGAAAATACAAAAAAGAAATGTGTTATATTGCTAGATGACATTGCAATGCCGCTTCGAAGCGAGTTTTTTATTAATTTAAGATAGACATCATCTTTCTTATGCTCCTTTTTTTTAAATCATGTTACCATAATTGTAATTATCTTAAATAGACTTCCGAATTACTCGAAAAGACAAGAAAATTGAGCCATAATTGACCGAAAGTGCGATTGCTTTCAGCGACATTATTTTAAATTGAGTTATTTTAAACGCATAAATAATATTTGGATCTCTATAAAGAAAAAGGTACACATCACATATATTGAAAAGAGAGAATATTAAGATATATCCAAATATTCATCCACCGCCATAGTAAATATTATATACGTGGAATACGGTAAACATCCCAATAAAAAGTAAAAGAGAATAAATAAAATTATTCAATGTGAAATAAAAATTATATTCACTCTTAACACAAGTTCTTTTTAATATTAATTGTTTAATATTCTTTTTAAGTATTGAATAGTAGGAAAATAACAGTAATTCTCATAATAAGCCTTGGTTTTCACTTAATTTTTTAATGCTATAATAAAATTCCAATTAGTACTTTTCCAATGTATACATTTCGATACATAAGAGAGAACGTAAATTGCTTCCTAGTAAGGAATTTTTCATTACATATTTTAACGATCATGACTTGACACTCCTAATTATAATAAAAACATTGTATTTATTTAGAAAACTAAAACATCTAAAATCTATTTATAAAATTTTGGGAAATGAAATTTTTTTACTATATTGCGATTTAACCGGAAGTAAATGATAATTTGGGAATTCTGAAGATCATCAAATCAGTGAAAGTAAATGAAAGCAAAGAATACAGAGAACATGTAGTTAGCTACACTGGAATGTTAGTTTTATCTAATCACTGTAGTTTCTTTTCTCAAACGAATAATTAGCGTTTAATTTAAATATATAATGTTTTTTTCATCACAATCGAGCTACGGAAAATTGATCATTATTTTTTACATTATTTTATTATTCATTAAAAATAGAATTAGTAGAAATTCAACAGTTGGGTTATTTTATTGAACAAAAAACAGAAATATTTTAGGGTTGGGTTTTTCGTACATGAGATCGATGACAATATTTGATGAATTATTACTATAGTATATCAAAAGAAATGAGCGATATATTCTTACTATATTCTTTATTATTTAAATACAGTTCATATTTAGCTTAGAATAAAAAAAATAGCAAAATCATAGATTACAATGAATTTGAGGTGCACGTAAGGCCACAAATACTGAAAGATTGCTTTGACAAAGATGATACTATACTAAAACTGTATACCACATAATTTCTGAAAATTCATTTTACATTGATTAATCTATCTCCTTTTATAATAAACATTTTGAAATATCTATTCAAACGTACAGAGACATTTTTTGTCTTTATTCAAATTTATACTTGCTATATCTTTTAAAGCTTAGGAATACATTTTATTTCTGATTAAATTATCTTTTTGAACTCCCGCACACTAAACAGTACTCTTTCGTACCGATTTATCGACAATCTTCAGTGTCATGCGAATATAAAGATGTTGAACGTCGATAAATCGATAAAGTAGAACAAAATTTAAGGGCGCGAGATTTAAAGTGATCAGCCAGTATTGTGCATAGTTACAAGTTCCCAGAAAAGAGGAGAGACATACGGATGCAGTGTATATTCCGTATGTGCAATAAATCAATCGCGCACATAGATGATAATTGCCAAATCGTGGTTGCATATTTACGTCACTGAATTTCCACATTCCAGCACAATCAAGGAAATAGCCAATAAAAATAAGGGAAAATGGGTATATGTTTCAGGCATCATATCCATATCACACCAAAATCCCCTAAGATATATGTCGCAATTTTTAGAGATGCATCAATCCGAAGTAATTAGCAAAGGATAATTTATAATAATATAATTGAAAGTATCCACGGACGCTAATTAGTTCCTTTGTTCTTAAATTCTACATATATATATATATATATATATATATATATATATATATATATATATATATATATATATATATATATATATATGTCTAAAATTCACTTAATATAAACATATCCAAGTTTCTAATGCCCATCACACCAAGTTTTATAAACCGCCACCTATCAACAAGTAAAAAAATTTTGCAAGCAATGCATAACAGTCGATCAGTCGGTACGTCAGAATGTTTACAAGACCCATGAAATTTCAACAATAGAATTGGGTCAGGTACAGGAGAAAGGTAATTCTTACGGAATAGGCAGAGGCCGACTGACTTCCGTTTGCCTACCTGGTATACTAGTATAAACGCAAGTTTGAAACACGGAACTAGCAACTCATTATTCCTGATTTCATTAAGCGGCATTGCAAACATATTTCATTGTATATTGTATATGTCGTCAATTATCAAATTTTTATTTTGCTCTAATTTTTGCTTAATTATTTTTATCGAACGTTCATCATATCAAGTTATATAAGCTGCCACCTACCTACTATTTTTTCATTTGAATGCACTATATTTAATTTTAATAATAATAATTTTGTTCTATTATTCAATTCGAACTAATGAGAAATTACAAAGCTTTCTTTTGCTGCTAATTTTTTGTTTGTTTTACCATTTTTCTGTACGTGTATCATCGTCGGGATATTTGAAAATTTTTAAGTTATCTTTTTCAAACTGTCTATGTAGTTTTCGTCTAGCATATCTATGTAGTATGCTATTTATGTCCATTTGTAAATTATTGTTAAATATTTATTCGATTTTGAAATTCAGAAACCAATTTCCTAAGAAAAAGGCTACAGCTAACAATAGAACTGAGAACAATTATTGCGTACATCTTTTTCTGTTTAATTTGGTTATGCTGCAATATGTTTGCAAGTGTGCGTGTACCCTTCTTTTGTCAGATGCAATGGTTTTTGTAAGCCTTGAGTGCCGAAAGAAGAAAACAATTGGTTGATTCACATGCCAAGAATGTTGGTCATTTCGTGGGTAATGAAAAAGGCGTGTCAGTACTAAATCCAAACTTATATGTAGAATGCATACATAGTTCAAATCCGCCGCTAATCATTTTAAAGTTAAAATAATAAATCATCCCCTTATAAAAATACTAATTATTTAAAAACAAAGATAAAAATATAATAAATTAAACTATTTTACTTATGCCGATAATAAACAAATTTTTAATAACGATAAAAATGTTTAATTATTTCAAGAATTATCATTTCATTTAATATTAATTTATATTAATTCAGATTTTACGTAAGATTTTTGATTAAATTTATTTTTATGAAATAATTATTAAAAATCACATACAAATATTAACATAAATGAAATGTTACGCTACATTTATTATTTTCCAAACATCAATTAAACATAACAATGTTACGTAGTAAAAGTAAGTGTTATGAATTTCTGAATAGATGCAATTACTACTAAATAAGAGACCAACATTAATGCTTTCGTATCTGATAAAACACTCAAAGTTTTTCAAATAATGTTACTTTCTCGTGAATAAATCCCCACCAAGATCAGTAGGAAGTTTCAATCATGTACGATACAAAATATTTTCGAAGTGTGTGAGAGTGATGAACGTAGATGATAAGACAACTTAATCGATGCATATTAATAGGAAGTAGTACGCAAAGGAGTCTAAGATGGAAGGGCATGCAGGGAGTGGGGCGATTTAAGTAAACCCGTCACCACAGCTATCAGTAAGGAATCAAAGCCGTTCTACGGAGATGCGAAATATCCCCATAGGAAATTGCGTGGTGTAATAATTGTCCTGTGGGAGTGACTCTGCTGAGATTCGGAGTCGCGGCACGATGTGACACAATGCTTCACCGCCGTTATTGCTGCACAGTATGGGAAAAAGCCGACCATTGTTACACATTTTACAGTCTACTACCACTGTTCCTAAGAGCCCTCGTCAACTCCCACGTTTGGCTTTCACCTGTCCCCGCGAATCTCCGAGTCGTCTCTACGGGCGTTTCTTAGTGTCTGCGACTCTACGCGCTTATTTTGTGTATTTCACGTGTGCCTCGTTTTTCTCTCTCTCGCTAAACAAGCCTCTTACTTTTTTCCACCAATGTGTAAGTATCTTCTGTCGTAGATGCTATTTCTTATTTTTCCTTCACAGAAAAAGAAACGCATTACTAAATATAATTTTTGCAATTCTTGTGCAGAACCTTTATATACAACTGTGTGTGCATTCATTATAAGTTTTCAATTACTCAGGGTGTAAAAAAACTCTGTTCTACAAAAAACTCGTACAACTTAAAAATCCAGTTGTTTTTATTAAATTGTAACATATATTGATACTCAGCACTAAATAATAAAAAAAAGTTCAGCATCTAAAAAAAATTCATAGAGGAATTTAAACAACTAATAAAACAAAATTAAATTTAAAAATTCTGAATGAATAATTATAGTTTTTTTATTGAAGCAGTAATTTACATTGAAACAATAATAATTCAATGATCGATAAAATGAAAATAATTAACTAATTCTTAGTCAATGATCATTATCATTAAATGAGTTAGTTTTGGTAAATGGCAAAATTAATAAATTTCGTATTAATTTTTTATTGATTATATTTTACGATTATAAACATAACGATTCCTTATTGTTTACATAATTAATTTTTCTGTTCGTGTATGCATTTGTAATTACTTATCCATTAAGTAAAAAACTCTGAAGAAAAAGAGCAGTAAAGACATTTTATGTAAAATAAAATAATCGTGAGAAAGTATTGTAATGTTTAGTAATTTTTCATTTTTTATACAATAAACCCAATTTTAATTATTTAGAACAAGGTAGTGACGTTGATTCGGTGTAAAGAAGAAATATTTTATTATGATTGCTATAATTAATTTTCATTTGTTAACAATTACTCTATTCTTATAAACAACTGCACCTTGTTCTTAGAATATAAAATACTGTATTTAATAATATGTTTCAGATGTATAAAAAAAGTAATATTACGTATAGAAGAAATATTAAATAAAAAAGAATAAACTTTAATATAAATAGATAAGTTTTAAATAAATACGACGATACTTATTTTTCAGCGCAATGGCTAAAGATTTTCTTTTCTTAGGAGATGATGATTTGGGGAGTCGTCAAGGTTGAAAGTGTGAAAGAAATTGAGTTTGCGTACATTCGCCGAAGGCGTTGTAGTAGGGTAGAGGATAAGTATTGTGTCAGTCTATATAACGGCGCGTAACACCTCGCTCACATCATTGTCAACATTCACCGCATCAGCGGTACCATGGTTTCCAGTCCCAAGGTACTTGCGACGTTTTCTTACCGTGTTCTCGCTTCACTTTTCTTCTAGCAGTGATTAAGTGTGTTCGTTTATCTACATGTGCTGGCGAAGTTTATGTGCCATTAGTTTATTATGGATGTATTACAAACGTTCAATATCATTAGTGCATATTTGATTCGAATAAATGAAAATTTAATTTAAATTTGTTTCTTATGAAAAATTGTTGTTGCTTGGTTAATAAACATTAAAATTTTTAAGTGTTGAAATCAAAAGTGAAGTTTGAAAAATGAACAAAGTTAAAAAAAAATACTAAAAATGAAGTTATAAAAAGTAGCAATTTAAGATTTTATAAAAGTTTCAACATATAATATTGCTTTTGAAATTTATTTAAGTAGAATTAAGATTTACTTTTTTAATTTTTGAGCATAAATACATTGTGTGTATATATATATATATATATATATATATATATATATATATATATTACTATCATTACGTTATTTTAAAATACATATAATAATTTTTTTTGCAATATTATTTGTTCTAATTTATATTATATTATATCAGATAAAAAGTTGAAAAAAGTCATGTTTATTTGAAAAACTAACTAAATTATTGATTAATCTTGATATTTTTCATCAAGATGACGCCATTAATGGCATTCTTCTTATTGGTGCCGGCTATCTATGGAAGTGAGACAGATCAACAAACTTCTGAGAGTCAACACGATCAAGTAGCAATTCTAAAACAAATTCGTAAGGTCAATGATGACGGTTCATATACGTATGGATATGAAGCTGGTGACGGATCTTTCAAAGTAAGTTAAATATAGTAAACAGTCGCGCCAATATACATATGTAGCTTTGGCAAAGCGGAATTATATTTTTAATGACAATTTTGAAATATAAATCAATGTCATTTTTACGTTGTCAAAAAAATATTCGTGGTATATCATTATAAAAAATTTTGATAAAATCTGTTTAAAATTAATCATTGAAAAACGACATGTGATATATTAGATAAATATTTCGTATATAAATATAAAATTTGATAGGTCGAGACCCGCGACGTATTAGGCAACATCAAGGGTACATTCGGGTTTGTCGACGCGACTGGTGAAATAAAGAGAGTCTCCTATTCCTCATCAAATGGAACTGGATTCAAATCAACCACCGTATCACCATTGCAGGAACACGTATCTGTTGCTCAGAATATACCACGGAATAATAGGACTTCTACAACAAGAAGACCTACTGCTGTTTATGCTTCATCAACTGAATCGTCAACTAAATCTACTGTTGTGCAACCAATACCAAGAACGCGGAAAACTACAACGATCCCAACAACTTCTTCTACCACTGGGTCAAATACAGAAAGTGTCACTCGACCAAATTTCATACGTCAAAAAGGGAGACCTCGTTTCATTATCAATGGACAACAAAGGCCGCTAGTACTCGAGGAAGAAGCAATTATTGATGAGAATTCACCAAGTACTAAAACAAATACCGGCGATAAAGCATCTGCTTTACGAAAAGTAGTGTTTACCAAACGACCTCTTGATCAGTCTTTACGTCCAATAACAGAGGAGTTCGAAGACAAGGAAGAAGAAACGAAAATAACTACTGGTAATTCTCTAAGAAGACAACTTCAAGACGAAACAACTAAAGCGACTCCAGTCGTCGAACAAGAAGACGATCATGCTGACGTGTACGGTGGAGCTCTATCTACTTCTCGACCATTATTTACGACAACGACTCCACCAAGGGTTATTCAAAGACTTTCTGGTTTGCAACAAGAAAGACAGAAAAATGTATATTCGAATCAAGAAAAAGGCCCAGCTACCTTCGAACAACCACGAGCATATGAACAGCAAGAATCTAAAACAAGTACTCAAGAAGATAGGAATCCCGCTCAACAAGTGCTGTTTCGTACGGCAACGAAAGCCCCAACTGAAACAAGAGAATTCGTTCGACAAGCCGTAGATCCTCTTTATGTTCGTCAACAGCAAGAAGCCTACCTTCGTGAAGTTCAACCTGGAGGACTTTTAGTTCAAGGTCCAAGTAACAATTTAGAGGAAGATCCAGCTTACCGACAAGTTCCTTTGAGTAGATTACTTTCGAGACCAGATCTTGGGCGTTTACTCCCTAATCAACAATTATTGTACTCAGGGGCAACTGATGCCAATGTACATTATCTTACAGATTCTCCTCCGGCAGCTTTAGAACAGGAAGAGGCATCTCCTCGAATACCACCAAATCCCATCCATCCAGCATATTTGACGAGACAAAGACTTGGCTATCAACGACAAGTCGCTTATCCCGAAGGACTCGCAGATCCCCGAAGGCCTCTTTTACGACAGGTGCCAATACCTGGGCCAGTTCCTGGACCATTACCTGGGCCAATATCTGGACCAGTGCCGAGAACAGTATTGTCACAAGATGAGCGAGAATATCAAAATCTCAATATAGATTACCCATACCGCAGTCACTTGGCACTTCCCCCAGAACCACCAAATCCTATTGCACCACCATTGAGTCGACGTGATTTTCAAATTTTGCTTCGCCGTTTATTAGTCAGTCAATATGGCATCCAAGCATTAAACTATCCAAGAACATACTTAGAAGACGCGCTATACGATCAGCAACCATATCCATCTTATCAACCAGGTTTACAAGCACCGGTTCCAAGAGGAGAAGTACCTTATCCTCCAGAGCCAGGATTACCAATAGGACCTGGAGCACCAGTGGGACCAACTGGATCGGTGGTACCGGGTGGACCAGTACCTCCAGGAGCACCAATAGGTCCTGGTGGTCAAATCGCTCCTCTTCCTCCTTATCCAGAAAGAGTAGCTCTACGCAGAGCACATGTATATTCGCAAGCTCTTAATCCTCTTTATCAAACAGCCGGCTACGAAGATTATCCCGAAGCGAGGTACTCAAAACGAGTCTACAGACAAAAATATTATACACCAGAAGTACTGTCAGAGGAAGGTGAAGAAATTTTACCACCGCAAATTAGAGAAGCTCTTCTTTTAAGAATGTTGCAATTGGCTATAAATGCTGAAAGGCCCATTGCTGTACCCAACAACATGATCATGACCACAGCATTGCCAATGAATTCAAGATATCGTAAATCAGGACCAGTTCGAAGTGTTCAGATCTTAGGAGAAGATATGGAGCAAGAAAAAGAAACTAGAAAAAAAATGTAGGCTGATCATCATATTTTTTAAGCAACAAGAGCTTCACCGAGCGATTGTAACACTTTTTTAAGTATTATTTATTATTAAAATGATTATGTTATTGTGTATGAAACAATTGTTGTTCAAGTGCATAAATTATGACTTTTACATAAAAATAATATATTTTTATATAATAAGGTATAAATTTCTCAAGACTTTTTTTTAATTATTTTAATAATTGTCACATATATACATTTCAAAGTAACATAATAGTAGGTATTCAACCTTTATGTCTTTGAGGAGCTTGTAGATATTAATTGATATATTTTTGTATCTTATTACTAGTAACGCTATAAGAATGTGGGTCGTTATGTAAGCATTACAACTAATCATTTAGTTTTATTTTATAAATATATCTTATATAAGATCGATCACGAAATGTCATTGTAAATAAGATAAATTATGTAAACTATAGTGTAATAATATAGATATATCCGGACGTGCGTTTTACGTCCTTTTCCTTTCCTTACATTTACGAATAAAAATTGAAATAAATGGATAAAGTGTGAGAATTCATTTCGTAAGCCTGAAAAATCCTACAACGCAGACTGCGTGTACGCGAGGAAATATAATGACGTGCTGCTGCTCTTACTAGGTAATAATTAGCATCACCGCGCGACATGCAATTGCAACATTAGCCGCGACGCACTGTAGGGCGTAGTTCCATGGGATTTTACACGTATAGTTTTCCACGCATTGAAATCTCGTACGCGCGATCGCCGGTGAGCTATGTGGGATACGACTTTTTTTCGCATATGGAAGTGGCCTCGCGCGATGGCTCATTTCTCGAGAACGTCTCATAGTATGTACAGATCGCTTCGAGTATTAATCTTATGCATAATTATTGTCAAGTTATATTTAATTTTTTATTTGCATTTATTTTAGAAGCATACTTCAACATAAAATAAATTGGAGTAAATGACTGCTCTTTATAAATTATTGTGCAAATAAAATAAAAAAGAACATTTTTATTTTTATAGGACTCATGTCATCACATTTTTAATTGCTATAATATAATTATGTACGTATCATTGTTTACTTTTTAGTATATATTGAATTTATATGCTTCATTAAATCGATAATTTGTATTTTATAAAAATATAAAAAGCTTTATTACATCAAGACTTTGTCAACAGAAATATTCAGGTAGAAAAAAAATTATTTAATTCTCTTTTTAACAGCATATAACTTTAAGAAAAAAAATGCACTTTCTTGTAAATACTCTTTTTTTTAATTGGGTTACTATGTACAGTAAGCATGGCTCAAAGGATTTTTATGTTTGATAGACTATGCATGTCACATTGCCAAAAGTTGTCTTACTGAGTTTGTAAATGTAACATAACAAGAGAAAATATAAACAACACATCATTTTCAATACTTTTTCAAGTGAAATTGTATATTTTTTATACTTTCATAACTAATAAAAAAATAATAGTAGTATAAATAATCATAAAGAAATTAATATTATTACGTTTTTAACACGTAAGTAGAATAAAATATTGCTCGTTAGCAAATCAATAAAACTGCGCAAATTTCTATAAATTTTATAATGTTTATAAATAAATCAGCAGAAAATAAATATAATCTTAATTTTATTATAATAATACTGACGGTATTAAGCAAAATCAGTATAGGTATACAGGTATAAAAAAGAGGTGCGGAGTGGTGCATCATTCAAACATTTCTTTAATATTTTTTCAGATATACTTCTACATAAAATTACTATAAAGGTGCACTCTTGATTGTTTAAATAATTTCGCAAATACTCCGTACAACACATTTCTTTTACTGAATTTATATACAATTTTCTATCTATAAATAATAAGTTTTATATGTTACGTAACCTATTTAATAATAAAAATAATTATATACTTAATGCACATTAGCAGTTATAAAAACAAGGATTTTTTCGGTAAAAACTTCATACCAATAATTACAAATGATACATTTTCTATCTTAAAATATTAATATCTCATACATATACTTGAATAACTTGAATGATGAGAAAAAGTTATAACATAAAGTAAGATCACATTCAATCTTAAAGGCGGATAGGATACCACGATCACTGATAATGAACGGACGAAAGCAATGTCGATATATACTTTACAAGATGCAATGAAAATATTTTTTAGGATGCTATCTGTAAAAGAGCTTGTGAAATTAATTTTAATCAATGCTCGCCACCTCAAAAAATATAAAAAATTTTCAACAAATGATTAACCTTTCAAAACCCATTCTAATTTTTTATGAATATAATTTTATACAAATTATAATTTTAATTCTGTTTTTGAAACAAATGATTTTATTCCATTTAGTTACTCTAGCTTTGTATTAACTGACAAAAAAACATCTTTCGGTTTGTTTCTTCTTCTATAACACAGTAACTTTAGATAACGAACATGACTAGAAATTGTAAGAAAAATGGACTCTTTAGTGCTTCATTTATAATATTTGTGATTTATCGATGATGCGTACGGACGAGAAAAATAATCTAAGTTAAGCATAACAATGTAAAGTCAAAGATCTTTCACAAATATCTTGATTTTGAATTTGAGTCAGTCTGGCTTTTGATCAAATTCAATGTATCGATGTAATTTCTGCATTTATAATTGATACATAGAAAAAATTATCATTTTTTAAAATATTACCACTAAAAAAGTTATTTTGGTTGTTCTTCGTTAATGACTGAAATAGTCGATTGCACAGATGTCATTTCTTTCTGTTCTTCTCTCGCATTGTCTTCTTCTTCATACAGATCGAATGGTTCGGTCTGTACACCTACATCTTCATAATCAAGTTCATAAACATCCTGCTCATATATAACATCGTGGCTTCGCGGTCGAGCCACAGACGGTATCCACGGTTGCGGTACTCCTTTGCCAAGAGCCAAAAATACTGCTGCCGTAAGAAGTAATACAATTGATGCTACTCCAAATACCAGACGCCAAGATCCAGCAATCTAGAAAAACATGATTCGTAAAGTTTCAATCATTTTAATTAAATTCTATGCAAATAGAAGAATACGAAAAATAATGTTTCTTAATAAACGAAAAAACTTGTCTTTAAATTTGGACGACACATATGTCTTTAGAAAGATAGAATGATATCATGTTGTGCAACAGACAAAAGAGAAAACCATAAATCCATAAAGCTATCTCAGACACCTCGTTAAGAAAGATAGGTGAATTAAGTAATAAATAGATTTCAGTTGAGATGTAAAATGTATGTTTCTCACGCTCCGATTCGATAATAGCTTTGTCGCAATTGTATCTCAAGCAAGCGATGCTTCATACGCATGTCACATACTTACCGATCCGTGAAGCGCCTGCGTAACGAAGTAATTAGCTGCAAGAAGACCAGCAGCTCCGAGAGTTGAACAGAGTGCACATGCAGCTGCAGCGCACGCGGGTGATTCAGCTGGTGCCAGATCGGCAATTGCCGCGAGAGCACCCGCCGGCGCAGTGCCGCTTACGAGGAGGGCGGCAATGCCCAGCCAGGCTGCACCGAGCGCTTGGCAGCCTGCGTAACCAGCGACGAATAACAACGCTGCTGGAATGAAATGTGCTGCAAACAAACGTTCAATTGATATTTTTTAAATGGACTACTGAGCTTTCTTTGAAATTTGAGCTATAAAAACTGGTGACATTTCGAAAAATTGCAATTCCGTTATCAAATTTGATCATATAATATTCATTTTTCAATTGTTCAAGTGTAACTTAATTGAATGTTTAGCATACATTACTTTTAAATACTCACCGTAAAAAAGAGAAATTTACAAAAAATAAATGTAAAATCGGATCTCAGAGAAGCCATAATATCGTCAAAAGAAAAAGTATCGCAATTTACTCACCGGTGTAGACAACGAGTTTCCTTGCAGTGGTTGTAGAGACTATTTTAGATTCTCTCACGTGATCAACAAGCAAACCACACGTGAGTGCTGCCATAAAGTGCCCTATGTGTGGAAGAGTTGTCAGTACAGAATCCTATATACAGAAAGTTACGTAATTATACACTTTCATAAAAAGTAAATGGTCAATTTGGAGAATGTAGAGCGTTGAACAAGGTCAAGCTTTTAATCGTGCCGTTAGACCGACTGATGCAGTAAAATGTTATAATAATTATTACGAATAGTATGAGAAAAGAAGCGGTAAATTTTTTTATTTCATAATTTTTGTTTAATACTCAGCATGTTTACAAGCGAATAAAAAAATGAAAAAAGTAAGTTTAGTAAACTCAAATAAAATAAAGTAGAAAATTAAAAAAAAAAGGTCTCTTTAACAAACTAATGATCAATAAAAAAAATATTTTGCAGTAAGATTGAACAATTAATGAATGTTACTTACATTAGCAGTCGAAAAACCATAAATAAGTTTAAGGTACTTTGTCATTCCAAGCGCGAGAGTAGCATCACCCCATTGGTTTCCCATTGTCGCAATAGCAGAAGCCCAGACAGGAACAGACCTTAGTAACTTTCCCCACGGTATTACTGCAGCCTATTAGTAGTGTAATAATTTACTAATGATGACAACGTCTGCATAGAATTATATATCGTAAAAGTAAATCATTTAACTACTCTATTGCGTTAATTTTTTCAACGAAAAGAAACAAGGTTATTCCTTTGATTTATGTTACCACTGCAAAAAGTTGAAAAAGTTGCTAGATCAAAAAAGATTATGTGATCAAAATGATATTGGCGATTAAATATGACAACATGCCTTACATTAGTATCATGCTGGTAGGATTTCGGACTATCTTTCACAAGTCGCCCAAATGCAAAATACCAACATAATGCTAATATCGTGAGACCATAGCACAATGAATCTCTGCCGAAAGCTCGTACTACTGCCGTTCCAATCCAGCCAGTCATACAATAACCTACGCTTACAGCTACAAAACAGACATTTTCAATTATGCAATTTTGCAAAGTATGAATTACTCAATCGACGCTAAAGATTTTTTTGATATTTATAATTTTGTTACCTGCATAACAACTAAAATACCAACTTCTATGAGTACTCTTGAACCACGTCATGGCAAGCATGTGAGCAGCAGGCATTGTTGCCCCCTGAAATAATGATTGTAATTATTCACTGTAATTATCAATTTTTGTTACAGATCTATTTTCATATTCAAATAGGAGTGTCAGATACGAATTTTTTGCTTGTAAAATAATTTAATAAATGATCCCACATAAGTTAGTCTTTCGAAAATGCAAAAGACTGTGCCCCAAAATAGTGTGATCTCACCGTACAAAGACCTTGAAACAATCTGAGCGCCACGTGCGAAGGTCCCCTCCAGGCGGCTGGTATGAGTAATGATGCCAAACAAGCGCTCAACACTGCTCTAGAAAATACCATTGACGGACCGGATCTTCCCCAAACAAGACATCCACCAAGGATAGGTCCGGCAACCTGACCCCATAGAAAAGCCTCGCGCATTATCGACTCGGCACGCTCTTCTTGTGGCAACTCCATAAGAATGATCTCCGTATCTTCGGTTCGATTTCGACTCGATATATTGACCAGCATATCACAGTGCCATGATTTATCGATGATTGCATGGTTGTCTTCTTGATTAGCAAGTAATGCTACCGAAGAACTGACTTCTACAGCGCCGCTTAGTGCAAAGCCTACAGCTACCAAGCCTGCTACTATGTGCCTGGCTCGAACGGCCGCTAAAAATAATAAACAATTATTTTTAATCAGTTTATCATTTTATTTGAAAATATTCATCAAAATCTATTGTCATATATTTTTACACGTTTTCGTCAGTCATAATTAAACACTACCGGAAAAATTAAAAAATAAAGTAACACAGATCAAACCAGTGCAATGAGATTCAGGCCGACTATGTGATTTTTTCCTAATTTCATTAAGGCGATGGTTTTGAAAAGCTCAAACAAAGATTGAAAGACTGAATAACTTAATAGACTGAGCTTTTTTGAATAGTTATTAATACTTTTATATCGCATAAAGTAAATTAATTTATTTTTAGGAATAAACTAGTTAAATAATATGCTAAATGACACCTTGAATTATCCCCGATCATAAAGTCTATTTTATATAATGACTTTAAGCTAATGTTTTAAAATAGTCAGCTAATAAAACCAGAAACGCCGTCAAAAACATGCAGGATTAACAAAAGGACAAAACTATTTTCGAAAGTACCACAATCAAAAGAATTATCCATAATTTGCTGAACAATCTTCCTCAAAAAACATTATAATAACAATATATAGATGCCAAAACAATTTCAATAGCTTAAGAGAATCGCTTGGAAAGATAGGGGTAGAGTTGGACCTCAAATGCGACTGTGATTGTGAAATATAAGATCTGAATTATTTAATTTGACGGTGTCCTATCTACGACAAAGACTGGAAAAAACTAATAAGAACATTATTCAAGAATAAAATGTAACTTCCACTCGATATAAAATGCTTTTTAGGTGAGCCAAATATAAAATGTTATGCAGATAGTATACAGGTTACCACATAATATAACTTAAACCATATAACTTAAGCGTATAATTATTAAGTTTCTAGAGGGAAAATATCGAAATAAGTGGCTGTATAAAGTGAAAGCCTAAAGGTATACACATTGTAATGAGAAATAAACATATACGATAATTCTTTATTTCTTTTATAATTATAATTTTTATTTTTTGTATACAGCTAAATAATTTATATAACGAAAAGTTAATAAAGTTTTAAATTAAAAACAAGTAAATTAATTAATGTTCATTTAGGTTTTTCAAGTTTTCCAACTTTATAGATATTTTGTGTTACAGCGCCTTCTTTAAAATATTAATTTTGGACTACCTTTGACGCTTTCATTGTATACAGATTAGGATTACAGTTATATTTTCTATTATAAAACCATTTTTTTCAAAGTACAATGTGAGAATTGAATTCAAAGTTGTTTTTATGCTCTATGTAAGAAGATTACTAACATTATAAAGTATATGAACCGTTCATATTCATCAGTACGTAATCCATATATGTACAATTATATTTAGATAATTCATGTTTCAGTTGAATTGAGATAGCATAAACTATTAATTTTATGAATTTATTGTTAAATATTCAGCGTATAAAAGTAAAATTAATTTATTTTGGTGATACTTGAGAAAATAAGCAAATGTGTTGGTCAGTATATAATATCTACACTGTTATTAAAAAAAAAAGCACGGTTTGCTTACAATTATAGAATCGACAGTCTATATAAAAACAGAATAGATAAACCAGTCCGATGTTATCTACCAACAACTCACGAAATCATATCAGATCTAAAAGATTCCTAATAAAACACACTGACACATCACGAGTTACTCGACGTAATTTCTGGATATTCGATCAAAGATCAAGCGCACAGAACTGACCTTGCACCTCTTTGGCGGCCTGCTTAATTTGAACACTACTTCTCTTAACCAGCTGCACACTGCCTCTCTTGACGAACTCGGCCATTTCACGAATCCGCGCCCTCGACACTACGCGACAAGCAATTCAAGTATTTCGTTGCGACAAGTGTTCCCCTTATCTGTGACTCGTAGCGTCTTCTATTTGATCGAAACCAACACGCTATCATTTTTTCCTTCATTTTGACGTTTTTTTAGATTTCCCTTCAACTTGGTGTACTGCAGAGGATTATAAATTATAGCGAGTAGCTTTTTACGAATGCAATTGTCTCAAGTTATTTACCGATACGTGAGCGAATTTACGTGTCGAGTACACTCATATCGTTATTTCTTTTGAATTATTACTGGAATTGGGTAAGTCTATCAAGTTACGTGCAGATTTCCGCGTCACTTTTTGTGAAGTACTGCTTGGTAAACATTATCATATGCCATGTGCTTATGAAAATTCATACTGGAAATAATTTCTTGAGAACTGAATTTTTTGTGCTGTCGTTTATCGATTAATTGTCTAATTTATCAAAATAAAGTATTGTTAAAGCTTCCTAGCTGATAAAAATCATGTTCTGAGCAAATATTTGCAAGCGTCGATATTGACGACGATACGTTATATTGTTAAAATTATGTTGCGGAGCGAGACACATTTATTGTAAGTTTCTTGCTACCATATTGTCTGTGTTTCGTAAGAATTTTTTTTAGGATTAATTTTAGCAAATGGCGTGGTGTAGCACCAAGTGAAGAATGATTGAATACTTGCTAAAAATATTTACTGTTAGCAAACTGTATCTGTTTACAAAATTTCATTTTAAAGTACGGTTTGTTAATAATACAAAATGCTCCTGGTTTTCATTGAAAAATCTGGTTAAAGCAGTAATTTAATAATATACTACGCAATTGCATTTTGAAATTTTTTAGATCGGTGCTTACTACACGTTTTGAATCACTATCAATTCTTCACTATCATTCAAAACAAACATAACTGTTGTTCCACCTCTTATTTACCCACTCTACGAACTATTTTCAAATCTTGAGTTAAAGCTACGCTTCCTTAGTGATAGTTGAAATTAAGTAATTTCACAAAATCATGTAATACTTGACAATCACTTAAAAATGGTTTTGCACAGATTGCTGGTAGAATTACCTGCACGTTTTTTTGATTCTTCTTTGAAATTTATCGTTTTTCCATTTTGTCCCATATTCCCATATGAGTGACTCGTAAAAAACTCGTGAATACGACAAATTGAGAAAAAAAATAAACAACTTTTTAGCAAGTGAGTATTAATGAAAATGTCGCGCACAGTAGCGTTAAAACTTTACCGGATATCGGTTGATTATCCAGACAAGTAATGGCGTGCGTCTCACGGTACATATAGCACCTTTCGGGCTGTATGCCAGCGCGTAAAACATCTTATCATTGATGTATGGATTTTATTATCTAAGATACCAATGTCGGTGTCTTGTATTGGATTTCTTTTTATTTACTTCCCTCGTGACTGTAAGAGGTGCTCTCATTAGAAAACAAATCTGATTATCTTTATGGCCAAATTTTATTTTTGGAGCCTCACGGTACTACCGGCAGCATGTATAAACGTTGAGTTTTCCCAACAAACGATTTGATTAATAGCATAGTTTAGTGATAGCGTGATTTATCAATTTATTATCGATATCGTTGAAAAAACTTCAACATATAGTTTCTGTGTAGATTGCGTAATTACTCAATTATAAAATCTTTAAACGTAAAAGTTGAGTTTTGAAAAAAAGGTCATCGTGTGACTACCATAAGTTTGGAAAATCTTCGAAAATAGGTAACACAATGTAAATACAAAATAATCATACGCAGCCCATTCATAATGAAAACTAGACACATTATAAAAGTGATTTCACTCAAGTAAATAACCTAAAAGGATCTTATTTGATATTAATTCCTCTAATTTTTCAATAAGGGGTAACTAAATTGACATAGCATAGTTGGTCAAAGTAACATGATTTAAAAACTCCTCAGTGTGCGAATTTTGTCATTTTTCATCCATGTGTACCTTTGACTTCGCGAGCAGCAATCCTCAACTGCACGCTACCACGTTTAAGGCGTACAAGAGCAGCCATTGTAGTGAGATTGACAGTTGCGCCGATGGGAATCTCACAGGCTGACGGAGGCATCGCCATGGATGTGAGCAGCACGGCATCGCTACCGCGACTATCCCTTGAGATGATTTACAATAGTACAGTAGCTAATCGATCAACGACTGTACGCCTACCTAATCGATCTGTAATTACATATATAATTACTTTTATACAGACTTGCGGATGAGAGTGAACACGTTCGCACGCACGCACTTCGGACAGACTAGATCAATCTGTCGAGTGCGGGTCAGTCGAGCTCTACATTTCGTTCTCTCTCTCTTTCTCTCTCGCTCTTTTTGCCTCTCTGCGGTTATCATCATCATCATAGCCATCATCATCGAGTGCGCGCTTCGTAGCAAACCGAGTGAATGAACGTCTCCGTTAACGAGACTTGATACAATAAGTACCTATGGCTCTCTCGCGGGCAGCCTTGAAACGCTACATTGACGCGTATGTATGAGAGAGACGGCGCTCTATGTACCTATATACCTTGCCACAACCTCTCTGCTTTGAAGTACTGTCGTTTGATTCGTCGGAATCATACGTATGCAAGCTGTGCAAAAAATAGACAAAGAGATTTGCGGACTTCCATTTTGTCTGAATTGGACGCCCACTATGAGATTTATGAATAAAGTATCTTTTACGTGCTATTATTGAGCTGTTTTGATGGTACTATCAACACTTGGATTAAATAACTACTTGCTGCTGCTCATACGCATTTTTATTTTATTTTATTGTAGTTCATGTTCATTTCAAAAGATAACGAACTTTATCTTAAATAATATTACAATATTGAGATTGTTTTTTAATTAAATCCTATCATCAAAATAATATGTACGAAACGTAAACATAATGGTGAAATTGTATTATAAATTTATCTACAATTAGTATGAGAACAAATACAAGAGCAATGAAAGCTTAATTTCAATGTATTTAAAAAAAACGATACATTAAGTGTACTGGACTTTTCAAGTTTTTGATTTTCACTAAAGTATCAAACATTACGAATTATACACAGGAATGTTATTCTCAGTACTGGGAGTTATTCAATGTAACGCATAAATAATGTATCGCGTGCCGAGGATAAAATTCCTATGTACATGCGCGCGCACACACGCACACACACATTGTCCATGCTGAGCGTGAATAATGGTTTTTTGATTACGCAGTGTATCCTCTGAATCCGGTCTTATATTCGGATGAAAATTGCTGTTTCGAACAATTAAGATAATAATAGTAAATTTGGATACTAGTGCGAAAAAGTGATTTCAGCCTCGTGTGGACGTTTGAACCGAAATTGACTCGAGCAAAGCGAAGGTGAAGAGGCCGCACGAGGGTGAAATTATATTCTCGCATATGCATATAACTTTATTTTTCGATACGATGAGTGTGGGTCGAGATTTTAAGCATGCTCTATTCCTCGAGCGTGCATAAAGTTTCCGCGCAAGCGGAGTGTCGAAAATCACTTTTTTTACGTGTCGTGTCTTCGGCTACAATACACTCTTGTATAAATAGAAGTTTTTATTTCATCAGAAATTGAAAGGTATAAGTAAATAGCATTGGTGCTACTTCATTCTTCAAATGCTGTGATTCAGGCTGCTTCTACAAGGGAATGGCGGCATGTCTAGGCGCAGGCGTTGTTTCAATAATTCGTTTTTGTTTCCCAAAGTATACCATTTGGAAAGTAAAGAAATATAAGAAAGAAAAGTAACGCAACAAAAAGTACCCATCAGTTTTTACTAATCTAAGATAAATCAAAACATGAAAACTTCATTCTTCTTGCGTTAAAAATACATTAACTTTTAAAATTTAATATTTTTCATTGAATTAGATAACATTTGAATATTAAGAACTAAATTTAGGAACCTTTTTCGACGTATATATTAATGTAACAGAACTTGATTTTTCATATTCAGATTTTTTATCTCCAAAAAATTTAGTTAAAAATTTTTATTTTTTTTTTTAGTGATTTTTTATATTTGGTAATATTTTTTCTTAAATAATATAAATTTTGAAATATGTTATTTATCATGTTGAAATCGAACAAACGATAGGAGTTGATAGTTTACAATATATTGAAATAGTATGGTTATCGGTCAATGTAAATTTTAACGTTGTCTAAATAAAAAATAAAAATACAATGTCGTAAATATTATGATTTATTATTTATAAATAATGAAGGGCCAGATTGAAATGAGATTGAAAATTATTAAATAACGAGAGGTTTTTCAAAAACAATGAAACAGACATTACATGATCATCAATGATAAACTGTTTAAGTAAAGCTGAAAAGAAATCACTATTGCAGATGGTTGGTATTGAAATTGACTGTAGACAATAAGTGATTTTAAAATACAAAAGTGAACGTTATCATAAGCGCGCAAAATAAATTTCTACCTGCCGGCAATGGCGTGTTACAGTTGCGGCAGATTCGCCAGCAGATCGCGTTGCAAGTAGTAACGTAGAGAGCAAAGGTGTAGTATATATGGGCCCGTTTCTTCCCCCTCGCTGTGCCCCTCTCAAAGAGAAAGAGCAGCGCGGTCCCCTCGGCTCGTATACCTGCGCTACGATTGGCCGGCCGAGTCTAAACGGTATAGTACTCGCGTTGTAGCAACACAGCACGCGAGATTCGACGCGCTCTCCTCTCTCTCTGGCGTGTAGTCGGAGAGCACAAGCAACAGCAGCACGCGTGCTGTTCCACGCGCATTTTCCACCGGCTTTTCGTGTGGGAAAACGCAAGCATTGGAGCATTCCTCGTCTGCTCCGATTTGTTCTCATAAGCAGTTGCCTACGCTCTACAACAGCAGACGGGGAAAAAGCTGGGATAATTCAGCATCTCTCGCGCAGTCGAGAGCGACAGAAGCGAGAGACGCTCGAGATGCTGCGCGTGGTTTTAGTTTCGTGTGCATTGTGAAAGCGAAGTTACAGTGATGCAGTGGTGCAGTGTAAATTGTCGAGTGTTGTGAGCCAAAATTAGGGAGGAGTTCTGTTTTTTCTCTTTGCGTTTGACTTCAGGCAACGATCGTTCGTGAAGCAGTCGTTCGAAGGTGAGTCGCAAAACGGTCTTTGAGTTTGTTTCTCCTTTCTCCTCGCGCGAATGGAGGAGAGAAAGAAAGAAAGAGAAGAGATTCGTTGGCAATGTCGCGAGGCTCGCTCATGAGGCCCCGTAAGAACTTGCACCATGTGTCACTGCGAGCGCGTATAGATATAATTTTAGTGTCTCCTGCCGTTGGTGTATGCAGCACTGACAGAGCGACTCGCGCGCGCTCGCTCGTTTTACTCTGTTTTCCTCGGGTCCCGCCGTCCATATCTCTCCTCATCTCGCCTCCTTTTACTCTCTGTTTATCTTCCTCTCTCTCTCTCTCTCTCTCTCTCTCTCTCTCTTTCAGTCTTTTATACGTTGGTCCGCGCGACGCGGGCGCACTCACTCGCCGCGAGTCCTTAAACTCGTCGTTTTGTCCGAATAAAACCAAAACTCTTTTGCAGGCCCTTTTTTCCCCTCCCCATCCGCGCAGCCTTACACTCGCTCCTTTCTCCTACTCTGCATCACTCCTCTCATGCTCTCCCTCGCAGACTCTCTGATAGCGTGCACTTTTTCGCTTTTTGTTATCTCTCTATCTCGCACATTTCTTACCCTCCTACTCCGTTTAATCTTTTTTTCTTTCGCGCGGGCTGCGGTCGCCGCACGCTCGAGATGCCGAGGGTTTATGTATCTCTGTCTCTCTCGGTCTCATCTACACACTGCCACGGCCACTGCACAGCCAACAAGAAACGACCAAGATGCCCCGAACAATACTGTGCTGTCGGACGAGGCCAGCTTGCCGGCCTCCTCGTCGTTTCCTTGCTTGCCTCTCAGGACCTCCCTGTTCAATTTTCGAATTGCCTCTGGTCAGCCCTTCCATCCTTTCTTCGAATCCTAAACAGACACGTCACGTTTCATTTGCAATTCTCGGGGCGCAGCTTCTCTGTTTTTTCTTTTCACATTTGTCTCACAGACGCTAATGAGTTGTCTGTACGTTAGTTTCGGTTTTCGAAAAACGGACCGTGCACGAGTGGTTGATTTTCCGCTTGAAATTAGTACTTGGCAACGCATTCCGACACATCAAACGAGTGCGCCCAGTATTATTGTCTCGGCGAAATTAACTGAATCGTACAACAGGTGTTTATTATTCATCGAGATTGGAGTTTACGTTCAATTAATATTCGATTGCGTTACGCGAGCGAGAGAGAACTGCATTGTTCTTCGGCTTCGG